CCATCTGGTTTGCCATCGTGAACGGACTGGTGCTGCTGGGCCGCTTCGACATGGCGCTGTTCATCTGCCTCATGGGGAGCACCTACGCCAAGCCCAACCAGCTGGTGGCCCTGAAGCCCGAGTACCTGTACCCGCCGTCGCGAGTGTCGACCTGGACAGCCCAGCTCAACCCCAAGCCCGAGGGGGTCCCGTCCAAGGCGAGAGAGTTCGACGTGACTATCGAGCTCGACCACGCTGGGTGGTCCCGCCTGGCTCCGATGCGTACGACGCTGAAGAGCTTGCCCGCAAGCCGTCGGGTGTGGTCGTTCACTTATCCGAGGCTGGCGGCGACAGTGGCGAAGGTCGCCAAGGACCTCGGCTTCGACCTGGGGGTGTACCAGACTCGGCGCAGCGGCGCCAGCGCGGACATGGCGTCCCGCAGGCGTACCCTGGCCGAGGTCAAACAGAGGGGCGGCTGGGAAGGCGATCGGCCTGTGGTGCGGTACGAGAGAAGAAGCCTGGCCAGCACGTGAGCCCGCCACCCGGCCTGACGCCAGAGCCACGCCGAGCGGTGCGAGGAGAGATTCGTGGAGATCTAGCTGCACGGTCTCACGGAGCCCAGGCCCGCTTTCACCTTCCGTTAGGGGAGCGTCGTCTCTTCGTGCTGCTAATCGGCGACGCTTTCCTGCAACCGCATCATGTTACGCGACAGGGCTTCTTGACCAGGAGCCTAGCCGAGCGGGATCTGACACTTGGGTCCTTGCTCGCGCTGCGCCGAGATTTTCAGGAGTCGCGCATTGCTGCCCTGTTTGTCTCAGTGACCGATTCGGACACGATGATGCGTGCTCGTTCGTTGATCACACTTGCTGTAAAGTTGAGACTCCCAGTTATAATTGTGTGCCGTGCAAAGCTAAGTTCAGACGTCGGCCGAGCGTTTAGTGAATTAGAGGGTGCTCTCTGTCAGGTTTCGCACATGTGCAGATATGGTGGTCGTGGTAGATTTCCGATTGTCTCGTACATTTTCAATATACAGTCTGCCGACTGCTCTCGCCTAGGGCTCGCGTGCCCTGGCAAGCGTTCCCGTGACTGCCACCAGCCCCACCTCTTTTCGCTTCGCCCCGCCCACCACATCCCAAAGAAGTTCCAGAGAGCCCTAGCGTTCACGCTGTTAGCTGTCCCTCGTGCTCTGTACTTATCAGTGTGAGAACAGACCCTGTTTTGGGTTTTCTGATTCGGGATGATGTGTGAAGTTTAACTGCGGAGTTCGAGCTCCGCTCTGTCTTCCCATCTCGGATCCGAGTCGCTTAGACCAGCGAGTGCAGTAGAGAGAAGTATTCACCGCTAAAAATATGCAGGTAAGTCATGGGGGTGCGTGCACATTAATGACTTAGCGGATTTGGGGATGTCGGTCTCATCACCTCAGCGTGCCACTCAGTAGTCGTCTGGGCTCCCCTCCCGCCCAAGCCCTTTCGAGAGGGACAGTAATGCCTGGATGATGTGTGAAGTTTAACTGCGGAGTTCGAGCTCCGCTCTGTCTTCCCATCTCGGATCCGAGTCGCTTAGACCAGCGAGTGCAGTAGAGAGAAGTATTCACCGCTAGAAAAATATGCATGTAAGTCAGTATCGATCTCACTATCGGTCTCGCTCGATCGATCTCACTCGATCGATCTCACAATCGATCTCACTCGATCTATCTCATTCGATCGATCTCACAATTGATCACACAATCGATCTCACAATCGATCACACAATCGATCTCACAATCGGTCTCAATATCGATCTCACTATCGATATCACAATCGCTCTCACAATCAACGTCATCATCATCATCATCATCAGCATCATCAACATCATCAACATCAACCTCATCACCAACATCGTCATCATCATGAGGGCACCGTCGTCATCATCATCATCATAAACATCATCATCAACGTCAGCATCATCATCGGGACAACATCATCATCATCATCACCACCATCACCATCATCATCTCATCATCAACATCATCACTATCGGGACACAGTCATCGTCGTCATCATCATCATCATCAGCAGCATCGTCAGAATCATCATCATAATCGGGACACCATCATGATCACCATCGTTCTCATCATCAACATTATCATCAGCATCGTCATCATCCTCGGGACGCCGTCATCATCATGATCATCGCATCATCATCATCGACATCATCATTATCAACAACATCATCATCATCATCATCATCATCATCATTGGGGCACCTTCATCATCATGAACAACATCATCATCATCATCATCATCATCATTATCATCATTATCATCATCGGGACACCATCAGCATCACCATCATCATCATTATCATCATCATCATCATCAGCATCATCATTGGGACACCATAATCATCATCATCAACATCATCATCAACATCATTATCGCCGGGGCACCATTTCCATCAACATCATCATCACCAACATCATCGGAATCATCATCATCATAATCATCATCATCATCTTCATCATCATCATCGGGACATCATCATCGTCATCATCATCAGCATAATCATCATGAGCATCATCATCCTCATCATCGGGACACTGTTATCATCATCGACACCATCATCAACATCATCATCATCTTCATCGGGACACCACCATCATCATCTCATCATCTCATCATCATCATCATCATCATCATCTTCGTCATCATCATCATCTTCATCATCATCATCATCATCATCATCATCATCATCATCTCATCATCATCCTCGCGGGACACCGCGGGACACCGGCGGGACACCGCGGGACACCGCGGGACACCGCGGGACACCGCGGGACACCGGCGGGACACCGCGGGGCCCCGCGCCCCGGTTGAGAAACATTTGGTCCGGCCGCGCCTCAGCCACAGGAGGACACCGCGGGACACCGGCGGGACACCGCGGGGCCCCGCGCCCCGGAAGAGAAACATTTTTGGTCCGGCCGCGCCTCAGCCACAGGAGACTTTTCTCGCCCGCCCACGCAGCTTCGCCTCGCACGCACGGCACGCACGAACACGAAACCGAAACCGTTTTCCCGGTGGGGGGCTCGCCGTTCCACTTCGATCTCACCCCCTCACCTCCGATAGCCCTATAGCCCAATAGCCCAATAGCCCAATAGCCCCATAGCCCCATAGCCCCATAGCCCCATAGCACTATAGCCCTATAGCCCTATAGCCCTATAACCCTATGGTCCTAAAGCCCTATAGCCGTATATAGCCCTATAGCCCGAATAGCTTTATAGCCCTATAGCCCTATAGCCCCATAGCCCTAAAGGCTTCTAGCCCTATATCCCTATGGCCACATCGCCCTATAGCCCTATAGCCCCATAGCCCTAAAGCCCTAAAGCCCCATAGCCCCCCCCAAAAAATTCTGATTGGGTTTTTTCTCTGGTATCATTTCGCAGGTATTCTTAGGAACCTCGTTCAAATTAAGTTCCAACTTTCCATCCCTCCAGGCTCCCCGCGGGCACCCGGAAGAGTAATAAATTCGAATTGCGGCCTGGCCTCAAATTGGGGGGCTGACTCCCGAGAAGAAGTAGCTAGTCGATAGTGTTGAGCAGTAGCTAGCGCCCCGTCGTAGAAGGACCACTTGGGGCTCGTGAGGGGCTCTGGTGTGGGGGGGGGGCCGTTCCTTATAGGCATGCGTAGCCGAGGCTCGCCTTGGCCCGAAGCGCCTCTTCCGTGCTCCTGTGGCGCTCCTTCCGGCAGCACGATCCGCACTGCAGGCGAGCATTTGATGAAGGAGCTTCCTGCAGAAGGGCTGGGCCAGCGTTTCTCGACCAGCTTGCCTGAAAGCTGGCCCAGCTTCCTCGTTCGCTCCCGCAGCGCTGGCAGCAGAAACGGGCCCCAGGCGTGCTTGAAGAATCTTCCCGGAAGCTGGCCCAGGCTTCCTAACTGATCATTTTCTTGAACCTATGTTCGGCTGTATTATTTGGCGTTCCTTTCTATTTGGCGTTCCTTCCTACTTGGCATTTCTTGTCTGGCGTTCCTTATGGGGTCGGAGGATTCCGCCGCATTGCCTTGGCAGCACGCCGCGCGCGGCGCGACGCCGAGGTGGGCGGAGGGAGGTCTGGCTGTCTCCCCTGTTTCGTGCCCCGCCTCGGGAGTCTTGTCGAGGGAAGAAGCACGAGTGCCATGATCGAGATGTCGCGGGATCTTGTCGACGCCGATCTTGGTCATGGTCCATGCGGGCCGTCGCCGATCCGCGAGCATGATCGACGAGTTGACGATGACCAAGATCGACACGGACGTTTCTGCGTGCAGCCTTGGTCATGCTCCCCGGTTTCTTTCCGTCCATCTTGAGCCCCGTGCGACAGCAAGCTTCGTCGCATTTTGCGGTGCCGCTGGCGCTTAGAGCCTTCGTTCTCGTCGCTTTGCCCCCGCCCCTTCCTTGGGACCGGCCCTGTGGCCGTGCAGAGAGCGAGGCCGAGTCCGCGTCCGGGTCCGCGCGCAGGAGGAGGGCCTGATGGATTGGGTGGACTGCAAGTTCGAGCTGCGCATCAATGGGCGGCCGTTCCACTCTTTCCAGCAGCGGCAGTCCAGCGGTGGCGGCGCCGCCGCCGCCGCCCGGCCACGCCCAGGAGAGCCTGGGCTGGTCCTCCTCCTCCTCCGCCTCGCCCCCCCCCCGCCTCGCGCGCCCCACCCCCCCCCCCCCGCCTCCTCCTCCCTCCTCCCTCCTCCTGCTTCCTCCCCTCCTCCTCCTCCTCCTCCTCCTCCTGCTCCCCCTCCTCCTCCTCCTCCTCCTCCTCCTCCTCCTCCTGCTCCCCCTCCTCCCCTCCTCCTCCTCCGCCTCCTCGTAAAGTGCACGGCATGACGCCGAGCGCAAGCGTTCCAGATTGCGCGCCTTCGGGTGGGGGCCGTCGCAGGCCCGAGGACTTGCGGAAAGCAGCGCGCCGCGCGAGATCCTTGTGAACGGTAGGGACGGTAGCCGTTGACGCAGTGGCAGACGCCAGGGCCGACGTCGTCGAGGCAGAAACCCATTGCAAACGGAGTGACGGGGAAGGGGACGACACGACTGCAGTAAGGGTCGCGAAAATGATCCGAGGATGCAGCGTAGTCTTAGTGTCAATTGGAGTAGTAGTAGTAGTAGTAGTAGTAGTAGTAGTAGTAGTAGTAGTAGTAGTAGTAGTAGTAGTAGTAATAGTAGGAGTAGGAGTAGGAGTAGGAGTAGGAGTAGGAGTAGTAGTAGTAGTAGTAGTAGTAGTAGTAGTAGTAGTAGTAGTAGTAGCATTAGTAGTAGTAGTAGTAGTAGTCGTCGTCGTCGTCGTAGTCGTACTCGTAGTCGTAGTCGTAGCCGCAGCAGCAGTAGTAGTAGCAGCAGTAGCAGGAATAGTAGTAGTAGTAGTAGTAGTAGTAGTAGTAGTAGTAGTAGTAGTAGTGGTAACCCCCGCACACCTACCAAGTGGTAAGTAGTAGTAGTAGTAGTAGTTATCAGTAGTAGTAGTCGTAGTTGTAATAGTAGTAGTAGTCAGTAGAGAGTAATGGTAGTGGTAGTCGTACTAGTAGTCGTCGTAGTATAGTTAGTAGTGTAGTAGTAGTAGAACTGGTGTAGTAGTAGTAGTAGTAGTTAGGAGTAGTAGTGTAGTATAGTAGTAGTAGTAGTAGAGGTTGTAGTAGATGTTACTAGTAGTAGGTGTAGTCTTAGTATAGTCGTAGTAGTAGTAGTAGTAGTAGTAGTAGTAGTAGTTAGTAGTAGTAGTACTAGTAGTACTTAGTATTTTGAGTAGATTCCCCTCTCCAAAAACTAGTAGTATAGTAGTAGTAGTAGTAGTAGTAGAGTATAGTACTAGAAGAAGAAGTAGTAGTTAATACTAGAGAATTAGAAGTAGAAGCTCAGAATAGAAAGAAGTAAGTGATGCAGCAGCAGCCGCAGTAGTAGTAGTAGTAGTAGTTAGTAGGTAATAGTAGTAGTAGATAGAAGTAGTAGCCGTTAGTAGTAGTAGTAGTTAGTAGTAGTAGTAGATAGTAATAGTAGTAGTAGATGGGTTAGTAGTAGTAGTAGTAGTAGTAGTTATGAGTGTAATCGTCGTCGAGAAGTAGTAGTAAGTTTAGTTGTTGTTAGTAGTAGTAGTAGTCGTAGGGTAGCTAGTAGTCGCAAGTCGTAGTAGTATAGTAGTATAGTAGTAGTAGTAGAGCGTAGTAGTAGTAGAAGTAGTAGTAGTAGTATAGCTTCAGTTAGTAGTAGTAGTAGTTGGTGGTGGTGGAGTAGTTAGTTTAGTAGTAGTAGTAGTAGTAGTAATGTAGTAGTTAGTAGTAGTAGTAAGTAGTAGCAGCAGTAGTAGCATATCACAACACTAGTTAGCAGTAGCCGTAGTAGTAGTAGTAGTAGTAGAAGTTAGTAGTAGTCAGTAGTAGTAGTAGTAGTAGTAGTAGATGTAGTAGTAGTAGTAGTAGTAGTTGTAGTAGCAGTAGTAGTAGTAGTAGTAGTAGTAGTAGTAGAAGTAGTAAAAGTAGTAGTAGTAGTAGTAGTAGTAGTAGTAGTAGTAGTGGTGGTAGTACTAGTAGTAGTAGTAGCTGTAGAAGTAGCGAACGTAGTCGTAGTGACAGTAGTAGTAGTAGCAGTAGTAGTAGTAGTAGTAGTAGTAGTAGTAGTCGAAGTAGTAGTTGTTGTTGTAGCACTAGCAGCAGTTGTCGCAGTAATATGTGTAGTAGTAGTAGTAGTAGTAGTAGTAGTAGTAGTAGTAGTAGCAGTAGTAGTAGTAGTCGAGTTCATAGTCGCAGTCGTACTAGTAGTAAAACCAGTAGTAGTAGTAGTAGTAGTAAGAGTAGCAGAAGAAGTACAAGCAGAAGTAAAAACAGAAGTAGAAACAGCAATATAAGTATAAGTATAGTAGTAGTCGTCATCGTAGTAGTAGTAGTAGTAGTAGCAGTGAACGTAATCGTAGTAGTGGCAGTAGTAGTAGTAGTAGTAGTAGTAGCAGTAGTAGTAGTAGTAGTAGTAGTAGTAGTGGTAGTAGTAGTAGTAGTAGTAGTAGAAGTAGTAGTTGTAGTCGTAGTAGTAGTGGTCGGAGTAGTAGTCGTAGTCGTAGTAATAGTCGCCGTAGTAGTAGTAATAGTCGTCGTCGTAGTAGTAGTAGTAGT